GGGGGGTGACGCGGTAGCACGCAAGCAAAACAGCAACCCATGAAAACCAAAAGAGACAAGCAGGGCACGTGAAGGCAACTGCTGCACCACCAACTGTACGTGTAGGCAACAACAAGCCCGAGGCAACAGCAGCGCACAGGGGGGCCGGCCCGCGTACAGAAAAACACTCCCCCCCCTCCCTCCCAACGCGCGCACTCTGGTACCCGAGGAGCAGGCAACCAAAAAAAAAAAAAACGAACCTGGAACGAGTTGGTCAGGCCCGGGTGGTCCAGGTCGTGGCACAGGGCCGACAGGATGAGGGCAAGCTGCTCGGTAACGGTAAGCAGCCCCGAGGCCCCCATGCCGTCGAGGGTGAGGTAGGTGGCGTGCATGACGTCCACGGCGTGGTAGAGGTTGTGGTAGGACACGCGAGGGTTCCTCCCCATGAAGAAACCCACCGCCGACATGAAGTGCGCGAACGTCTGAAGCGTTGGGCAGGGGCGGGCGGGTGAGGTGAAGGGGTTCTGTATTTAGACGATTTTTCCTCTTCTCTCTCTCCCGTCGCCCCCGGCTGCGTGTTTGGCGTGGGAGGAGGAGGGGGCGCTGACTCATGCTCGGCAAACCGCGGCAAACCGAGCATGGTACTGCTGTACGTGCAACCGTGGGTGCTGGTTTAGTGCGGTACCGTGCCATGTAACTGCTATCACCTATCTTCAGGTTGATCCCAAACGTGGCATGCAACTGCCGTCACCTACCTTCATGCTGATCCCGAACGTGCGAGGAAGGCCCGTCTCTGCGAGTACGGTGGCCGCCAGCATGCCCAGCTCCTGTTTGTCCAGCCCGAAGATGTTGAACCCCCACTCCCGGAAGTCGTGGGAGGACCCGTCAGAGGGGGATAGAATCCTGTCCGCAAGGGGGTGGTGCGCGTCCACCTGCGGCCACATGGTGAGCGACTTGAACGCCTCGTCGCTGGAGGGCCCGTGCATCAACGCGCGTGCACCTGGGGGGGCGGGGGGCATACGGGTGAGCATGCATAACATATGTATGTAGTTGGAGCCAACGCGGGTGACGAGAGGGGGTAGGCTATTGAATTGCGTGGCTGGAGGCTTCAGCGTGGCGTCTTTCTTTTTCAAACACCGTGAAAAGCTGCTCGCCGGTCAGGGCAGGGAGGGGTTGAAAACAGAGCCAGCAGAGTACGAGCCATAGATCCGCATACACAGCACAGAACACGAAAAGACAAAACAAGGACAATCTCAACAAACCACAGCACGGCGGACGGAGTTTGTCTATGACGTACCTTTAGCAACTACGATACGCTCAGTAACACACACGCCCTCTCTGTCTGTCTGTCTCTCTCCCTCACTCACCCATCGGCCGGAACTCTCCCTTCATCCTGGCTTCCTTGACCAAAACCTTGCGGTCGTTGATGTAGCCCGCGTTGTGCGCCTCCACGAGCTGCTTCGCGGGGAACGGTCCGTACTGGTTCTCTTTGCGGTCCTGGACAAAACATCGTTTTCGCACGTAGGCGTGTGTTTTTTTTTCGCGGTGGGGGGCAAGGGCGGGGGCCCAATCGATCAATCGAAAGGGCACACATGAGGGGGGTCCGTAGACGACGCCCGAGGTATCCGTGTGGGCGTCCCGGTAAGGGAATCGGGGGGGGGGGGGGGTCTCGTTATCAGGTCCACAACCGGGGAAAAGAACGCTTCATGATGACTCCTTTGAAACTATTTTTTTTTATCGTTTGAAACACAAGCCAGGTTCCTGCGAGGTTCATGTTCATCTCGGTCAGGGTATGGTCATATCGGGCTAGCGCTCTCGCGCACCTTGCAGTAGAAGGTGTGTGTGTCGAGCTGTTCTAGGTCGACATCGCTGCGGCCCACCATCGTCAGGAGCTCCTTCAGCTTCAACCTGAGAGAGAGAGAGAGAGAGAGAGAGAGAGAGAGAGAGAGAGAGAGAGAGAGAGAGAGAGAGAGAGACACACACAGACAGAGAGAGAGAGAGAGACCAAACGCGGAAAAAAAAAAAAAAAAGAGAGGGGGAACGTTGTTGCGGCTTGGTCTTCACAAGAACAAGGCGCTCTGTCTGTCCTGTGCATGGCCAATCCCTTCGTTTTCTTCAAGGCACAGAAACAACAAGAGGGAAAGAGGTAAAATGAACAACGGAAAACCGGACATGAAATTTTTTTTACAACTTAACACTCACAAAAAAAAAAACCGACAAGGATCGTTTCTCCAACACAAGCAAAACACAGACACCACAACAAGCATTCGTCCAACCCCCGCCGACAGAAGGCAGCGACATGTACTGTGGTGTCCAATGGTCAAAATCATTGTGAGATCAGCCCAAGTAGCGCGCGTGGGGGGAGAGGGCTACGTGCGGTTACGAGGTGTAACCTGGTCTAATATAGGAAGGCCACAATACTCGGCCTTTCCGCTAGGAGCAGGAGCACAAAAACACAGCAGTCGAACCGTTCAAATTTACAACGGCGAAACAAACCTAAGTAATAGAGGGATGAAAACAAGAGTTCATTATCCATCCGAGGAAGGGAGGGCTGTGTAGTGCACACCAACAAAACGAACAAAAAAATAAAAAAAAGACCTCGCAGCAGAATTACACACCTCCGACTTCAACCGCCCCCGCCACCACTAAACACACACAGGCACCCCCCTCTACAAGAAAAAAAAAAATCTCGCCTGATCCATTCCCGATTCACGGAGCCCCCTCCGCGCTCCTCCGGCATCGAGACCTTGGCCTTGGTCTCCACCGCCAGCAGCATGAGCATCAGCTGCCGCGTCAGCGGGTCCGTGTGGAGCACCTCGGTCCCGGTGACGTAGATGCCGTTGCACGACGACGAATCGCTGGTATTCCTTCTTGCCCCCCTACTCCTTCCCCTGCGCATGAATGTCGCAGATGCGCATGGGG